TCATGCAGGAGTTGCAAGACCTGGGATACATGAGTCTCGTTAGTCACCCGCAGTTAAATACTCCGCATTATTATATTCCGCAGCACTGCGTGCTCAAGCCAAATAGCACATCAACGAAGCTTAGAGTGGTTTTCGACGCATCTTGCAAGACATCGTCCCAGAAATCGCTCAACGATCTTTTAATGGTCAGACCGACCAGCCAGATCTCTACACACTGCTTCTTCGTTTTCGTATACATCGCTTTGCTATCACTGATTATGTAGTCAAGATGTTCCGTCAAATCAACGTGTCAGCTCAGGATCACCGATTTCAATACATCCTTTGGAGAGCTTCGCCATCGCAACCCTTAAGCACCTTCGAATTGAATACCGTAACGTATGGTACGGCGGCTGCACCGTATCTAGCCATACGCAGTATGTCATACCTAGCCGACCACTTCATGGACAAATTGAGAATTGGGGCTGAAGCCATCAAATCGTCGTTCTTTGTCTATGTCTATGTCGTTCTATGTGGATGACTTCCTGGGTGGAGCGAACACGGTAGAGGAGCTACATCAAATCAAGAGGGAAGTTACAACGGTTCTACAGGATGGCCCATTGGAACTCGCAAAATGGCATTCAAACCACTGTAAGTTTGTCGACGACAATACAATAAAACACTTGCAGTTGGATGACGAGATGCTAACTAGCACGCTTGGCCTAAAATGGGACCAAGTACGGGACACCTTCATGTTTTCGTTTTCGCCAAGAGTAGAGTCAGACCACGTTAACAAACGCACGATGTTGTCAGTTGCATCGTCACTGTTCGATCCGTTGGGATTAGTTACTCCCATCATCATCGTGGCAAAAATCATCCTGCAGGAGCTGTGGCTACTAAAGCTACATTGGGATGAGTCAGTACCCCAAGGAATCCATACAGCTTGGATGTCTCTTCTTTTGTCGCTTACGTCCTTGGAGTCTATAGCAATACCACGATATTGCCTCCAACCGGCTATACACACTCTTCAGATACATGGCTTCTGTGACGCCTATATCAGAGCGTACGGATGCTGCATCTACGCTCGCACACTTGGATCAGATGGGCTTACCAAGGTACAACTAATCACATCCAAGTCCAGAGTTGCTCCCACCAAGAAGCTATCTCTACCCAAATTAGAACTGTGCGGAGCACATCTGCTAGCACAACTCCATCAGAAAATCATTCGAATCTTCACAGATAGAGAGCCAACCTCGTCCTTATGGTGCGACTCTCAAATCGTTCTACATTGGAATCGCCAGCACTCAGCCACATTATCTACCTTTGTCGGCAATCGAATTGCTGAAATTCAAGAAATGACGTCAGATTGTCACTGGAGACATGTTCCAACGCTCTGCAACCCGGCAGACATCCTGTCCAGAGGCTGCTCTATCGCCGAGTTGGAACAATCGATATGGTTCGAGGGACCTGAGTTTTTACGTCAAGAGCAGCAATATTGGCCTAGGTACAATAAAGACATCATTGACATTGATCTGGAAACTGTGCAACTGGAGAAAAGAAAATCAGCCTTTGCCGTACAGACTACCAGTAATCAACTGCTTGAAGGAGTCTACAAATCCAATTCGTATCATCGCTGCCTATTAGTCGTCGCCTGGATGTTCAGGTTCATTCAGCGCTGTCGTAACCTCATGCCGTCCCAGTCTCCATCGCCAACCCCAACGGAATTGCAGCGGGCGCTGCATTGCATCGTCTGGAATATCCAAACCAATCACTTCACTCAAAAGATATCATCAGTCCTGAAGGGCCAGCCGATTCGCACTAACCTTAAAAACCTTAGTCCCTTTCTTCAGGTCACAGATGGTTTCCAACTTCTAAAAGTCGGAGGGCGCCTTTAGTTAGCAGACTACCCAGAGACCCAAAGTCATCCTGTCCTGCTCCCAGCTAAGGATCCCTTTGTCTCACAGTTCGTTCGCCGTCTCCATCTCCAAAACTATTACGCCTGGTCACTTCTTAGTGGGTGACGCACTCCGAGCTCCTCCAGAAGCTCCACCAATCGACGACAATCTGGACAAGTTGGACCGATGGAAGAAGGTCAGCGCAATTAAGCACCACATCTGGAGTCGTTGGAGCCACGAATACATAAACGAGCTCCAAGTTCGCACAACCTGGACGAAGACTGCACCAAATCTAGCGGTCAACGACATGGTTATTGTTCACGAGGATAATCTTCCCCCACAACGGTGGCTTCTTGGCCGCGTAGTCAGCACCATCGCCGGATCGGGCAACATCGTGCGTTTAGCCAACGTACGCACCGCCAAGGGAATCATCCGCCGTCCCATACGGAAAGTCGCCTTATTACCTGTCTCTTGAAAGTCAATCGCATAGTTTCAAGGGGGCCGGTATGTTGGGCTAAAACCCAAATAGTACATTGATTATATTCAAATTCCGCGCCTTATGACTATTAGACAACATGACTATGACCTTATGACTATTAGACAACATAACATCTGTTATACTGATGCTGCCAACTCGTATGATCGAATGAGTGGCAGAGAGAATAAGAAATAGTGTGAAAAAGAACTTGAAGTAACGCCATTATTAGAAAAAGTTGAAGTTGAGGAGAGCTGAAGTAGAAAGTATCAATAAAGTTATACAAATGAACTAGGACCATCTGACTTATTATTTTATACTCAAGAATAAAGCTCTTGTTTCAACAGCTACAATTATGAGTGTAAACTTGCTGCGCTAGGATAATATAATAAATAAATTAAATTAAATTAAATTAAATTAAATTAAATTAAATTAAATTAAATTAAATTAAATTAAATTAAATTAAATTAAATTAAATTAAATTAAATTAAATTAAATTAAATTAAATTAAATTAAATTAAATTAAATTAAATTAAATTAAATTAAATTAAATTAAATTAAATTAAATTAAATTAAATTAAATTAAATTAAATTAAATTAAATTAAATTAAATTAAATTAAATTAAATTAAATTAAATTAAATTAAATTAAATTAAATTAAATTAAATTAAATTAAATTAAATTAAATTAAATTAAATTAAATTAAATTAAATTAAATTAAATTAAATTAAATTAAATTAAATTAAATTAAATTAAATTAAATTAAATTAAATTAAATTAAATTAAATTAAATTAAATTAAATTAAATTAAATTAAATTAAATTAAATTAAATTAAATTAAATTAAATTAAATTAAATTAAATTAAATTAAATTAAATTAAATTAAATTAAATTAAATTAAATTAAATTAAATTAAATTAAATTAAATTAAATTAAATTAAATTAAATTAAATTAAATTAAATTAAATTAAATTAAATTAAATTAAATTAAATTAAATTAAATTAAATTAAATTAAATTAAATTAAATTAAATTAAATTAAATTAAATTAAATTAAATTAAATTAAATTAAATTAAATTAAATTAAATTAAATTAAATTAAATTAAATTAAATTAAATTAAATTAAATTAAATTAAATTAAATTAAATTAAATTAAATTAAATTAAATTAAATTAAATTAAATTAAATTAAATTAAATTAAATTAAATTAAATTAAATTAAATTAAATTAAATTAAATTAAATTAAATTAAATTAAATTAAATTAAATTAAATTAAATTAAATTAAATTAAATTAAATTAAATTAAATTAAATTAAATTAAATTAAAATTAAATTAAATTAAATTAAATTAAATTAAATTAAATTAAATTAAATTAAATTAAATTAAATTAAATTAAATTAAATTAAATTAAATTAAATTAAATTAAATTAAATTAAATTAAATTAAATTAAATTAAATTAAATTAAATTAAATTAAATTAAATTAAATTAAATTAAATTAAATTAAATTAAATTAAATTAAATTAAATTAAATTAAATTAAATTAAATTAAATTAAATTAAATTAAATTAAATTAAATTAAATTAATTACATAGGGCAATGCATTAAGACTTACATTAGAAGTATCATATACTAGTCGTCCTGCTCGCACTTGTGAAAAACCCTAATGCCCATATGATACTGTAATGCAGTTTTCATTAATTAGCTACTTCATTAGAACCTTGAAAGAGTCCACTATATGTGTCATTTTCTTGGATTATTTTGGTAATACGACTACGGTCACACCGACCGTAAAAGGTAAACAAAAAAAACGGCCGCCATTCGCGGCGTATTACTAAATTTCTGAATTCCTCGTCGAAGTATTCTTGCATAAATAAATGCAGAATCCTTTAAATTTATGTTTTTAACCTATAATGCTTAAAATTAGTTTAATTATTACAAAAAAAAAAATAATTTTAATTAATTTTACAGCGCAAGAACCTTGCTACCGCAAAACATATTATTTTTGCTAATTTTCTAATATATTTTTCAGTTCAAAAACCAGCGAAATGATATAAAAATAAACTTCTCATTGTGAGACCATACTGTCAATGAGCTGACTAATACATTTTTCAATTACAATTTTATTCATTAAACGCGTATTTTGTTATCGAGTATCTGGTATATTTTATGTAGATCTATCGATTATCGCGGCAATGAAGTAGCTAATGCATTATTTTAATGCATTAGAGCGCCATATAGTCGTCTTGCTCGCACTTGTGTAAAACGCTATAGCGCTGTCAAATCTTTAATGAAGTCTCTAATTAATGCGGCAGTGTCATGCCCGTATAAGTAGCTTTCAAATCTTCAATAAAATCTCTAATTAATGCGGTGGTGTCATAAGTCTCAGTTATTCAGTTTCATTTTCTTTCTCCTTATTTTCTATTTGAACGTCATTTGTTTTCTTTTTAACTTTTCCTTACTCATAATGTTTATGTCCTGTTTCTTAGGTACATTCTTTATCTTAATTTTTTATGTGAGCGTTACGCTTCTCAATTTTATTCATTTAAAAGGTTTTATCTCAAGATTTGTATTATCAAAATAGAGATATTCATGATCTGATAAGGGAATTGTCACAGTTTTAGAAATATTAACAATTAATTTATATATTACAGGCTGATGGTGAATACGACAAGGAACAACTGAGAAGTGAGTATCTGTTTTGTCTGTCTGTCTTTTCCATAACTAAATTTCAATTTTGCAGTTCTTCGAAATGCTTTTAAGGCTTTTGACCACGATGGAGCAGGTTGGATCGAACATTCAGATGTGTCCAGCATTCTTGAAATCTTGGGCCAGAAACTAGAACCGCCAGCTGTAAAGGCACTTATTAAAGAGGTGGATAAAGGATCAACAGGAAAATTGGATTTTAGCCAGTTCTGTAAGTTGGCTGCTCGTTTTATCGAAGTCGAGGAAGATGTAGGAGCACTTCAAAATGAGTTGAAAGAGGCCTTTCGTGTTTATGATAAAGAAGGAAAAGGTTATCTAACAGTTGCCACATTGCGGGGCATTCTTCACGAATTAGACGATAAAATTTCTAACCAAGATTTGGATAGTATTATAGAGGAAATTGATGCTGATGGTTCTGGAACAGTTGACTTTGATGGTATGACAAGATATTTAATTTCACTAAAAAAATTATAATTATTAAGTGGTTATAACTTTTTCAGAGTTTATGCAAGTGATGACAGGTAATATATATCTGTGAATAAATGTATTTAGATAATTTTATATATTTGAAAATTTGGCTAATATGGTAAATTAGGATTATTGTTGTGGTTTGTTTTTTTTATTAGAAACTGTATTTATATTTTGTTCTGACTGGGGGCACATCAGCTTACACCTCCAAGAATAGATAGAAAAATGTGGGATTTTCTACTGTATTTAAAAAAATATATATAGTTAGCATTTGGAAGTTTTATTAATGTATTAGTATTTGGCCTTTTTGCATAGTGTGTTTATATGTTATACATTTATTTTTATGTTTGAAAATGTACTTTTTTTAAAGATTTTCATGCCCACGAAACCCACTCACATCTATGTCCTGTTTCACCCTCCCTTTTGATTTTCCTATTTCCAAACATTTTATTGTTTTCCATGTTTTTAGAGTAGAGCATGTTCTTCAAAACATACCTTTTTTTTTTTTTTTGAATACTTACCGGAATAGAAGCTGCTTTTAGCAATGTCAATAAGTCTCAGATTGTCGCAGCAAACTACATTTTCTATATTCATGTGATGTCCTATACGTCTTCCACTTTTTGTAAGCTTTGTCGCGTTTATTGATCGCAGTCCGAATGCCATGATGAAACCATGGTTTCTCCGTTGCACGGAATTTTTTAATACGAACGTGAACGCAGCTGTTATACAAGTTACATATTGTAACGAAAGCCGCCCAAAAGAGCTTTCGATCCTCAAGCCAGTTGGCAACTCGAGCAGCTGCGCGATAAGGAGTTTTGACGGCACAGATCTCAAACGAGCTAAGTTGCGCAATTCCGAGAATTTGACAGCCAGGATGCCTGGTGTCTCTGATTCTCTTGTTCTTAAGCCCGATTTCTTTGAACAACAAGCCGATTTGGCAAAAATAAAGAAAGTTACGAAATACACCAAAAATACGCGTGTTATCATTGCGAGGCGTAGTTGCTGAGTTGGCACTGCTGCCAGGTGTGGGGTCTCTAAGGTTTGCGAAAACCCCAAAGAAAATGCCTAAGAACTCCGCTCGCCACCGGCGTCAAGCCTCCCCTGAAGGGCATAACCAGAAAGAACCGCGGGATGGTGCGGCTGCGCTGGACGCCGTAGATCGAGCCGTCGACCGCTCATTTCGGCTGATCGAGCAAAAAGTGGAGGCTCTGGATCAAACGCTGAACCTAAAGCTGGAACAGAAGTTCGAGCAGATGTGGGCGACTTTCGAGAGGACTATGCTGGTCGACCGCTCCGGAAATAATGGAGCGCAGCCTGTGCGCAGTCGCGACTGCGTGACACAAGCAGGGAGCGACCTGCATTCCGCCAGCACCCCGCGCTTCACGGAGACAGCCAACGCGGACTCTGGACAGGCGCGGCAGGTGTATTCCCGAAAGATTGACACCGGGCCTGGAGCGGCATCAACTCCTGCGCCGCCGCCAGTATGCGACCTAACCCTACATTGGGGAATTCTTGAGGTGTCGGACGCAGAGCTGCCGCCCACATTCGACGGCACCCGTCCCTGGCCGGAGTTTCAACGCCTGCTGGACGACATGGCCGAGGAGTACCATTGGTCAGAATGGAAGAAGTGCAAGAAATTGTACACGAGTCTTTGGGGGCGTGCCCAGCGTTTTCACGCCACCCTCCCCGAAGCCACCCTCCACTCGTTTGAGCCCATAGCGGCTGATATGCGCCAGTATTTCACGGTCAGTAAGCATGCCGGCTATCACACTTTTCACAATCGCGTGCAGGGACCCCGAGAGTCACTCGAGGACTTCGCCAAGGAGCTGGAACGCCTGGATAGATGCGTGTTAGGCGAGTTGCCGGCTGCGACTTACAACAGCATCATAGTGCAGCGCTTCATCGACGGGATCCGAGGGCCCGGATATCAGGTCCCAATCATCAGCAGCAATCCGCACTCGCTGACGGATGCTCTCGATATGGCCTGCCGCATCGACGCACAGTGTCGACGACGCGCAGCCGCTGCCGTTATGACCGTCGCCGCCGTGGACCCCGACGATCCCGTCGGCGCACCCCGGAGAAGAAAGCGAGGCTCCCGACGAAATAACGAGTCGGGCCTGGACTCCTCCAGGAATTCCGTGTCGCCCTAGGGAAACTAGCTGCCGTCAGCCTCTCGGGGCGGAGGTTGACAGCCAACACCGACTGCCCCAGTGTGCTCACTCCCCCCATTCCTCACCTCCAGCTCGCCCTCAATCCCGGATTACTGGAGCGGGTCCCCACCCCTGCGACCCTACGCCACACGCCGAGATCGTCTCTGGACCACCGCCCTTCGCAAATAGTGCGATCCGAACTGCCGCCGCCGCCGAGTCTTACGGGACCACACCGCCGCCGCCTGCAGAAGGAGAGGAATTGGACGTGCACCCAGTGGAACGGTGCTGGATTCAGTCTCCGCCCGCCCAAGCTACGTATACCTGTCGTGCCGTGGGTGGTCCTCACTTACACTGCTTAATCTTTTTACAGAACAGCCTTTACGCCTGATCATCGACACCGGGGCCGCCGTCTGCCTACTAAATGATAGGGATCTGCAAAAACGATCTGAAAGACCTTAAGTTGCGGTTTCCGTGGGGATATCTTCCGCTATATGCCCCAAATACACAGCAGCGAAATTTGCTTTATGCGACTGCACCCACCAGTATCCTGCCATATAGCGACACCCACTTAACAGTTCGATGCACGTCTGAAGAATAGCTGTCGTTGGCCCTGTTAGCACGTGGAACGCGGTCCCAATTACCGCCCAAGGTCTTACGAGGAAGCGCCTTGGTGGACACCTCCAGCAACACCAGCACCTTGTATCTGGTGAATCTCAGCGCACAGGAATACCTGCTACCCGCGCGAAAGATAGTGGGACAAGTGGAACCGGTAGAGCTGCTCGTAACTGCCTCTGACCCGGAGGTATACGAAGCCACCACGTCCCCCGATGCAGAAGTGGCCTCGGATTTGCCCATCTACCTTCATTCTAAGTGGACGGCATTGGTGGACCGCTTCCATAGAGTGTTTGCGCAAAGCGATGACGCACAGTAGCGCCTTTTCTCATTTAGCGTTGCAAAAATCATATCTTTGAACCAAATAAGGTAATTGAATAATTTAAACGGCACTAGACAGGTAATTGTCGTAAAATGTATATATGTATTGCATAATGTACCACGCCCACAAATTCGCCTTTTTAAAGGGTACCAAAATGAAAAATTAGGTTTTTTCAATGAAAACAATTTTTTTAAATATTTTTTTACATGAAATATTATCGTAGTTGGTCCGACAGTTAGGCCGATAAGCGCACCCAATCAGCATTTTTGCAGTCTTTTGCAACTTATATTTAATTTCTACAAATATTGTATATTCCATATAACTATAAGCAGGATGTTTACATACAAAGCTTGACTTCAATTTTTTGTTCACATACAAGTTAACTACAAACGAATTCGCAAACGAATTCACAAATGAAGTTGACCCGCGCATCCGGCCTTGCACAAGCCAATAAAAGTGCAAGGGCAACTTCCCGGCTTAGGTCGATAGCACCCAGTAAGTGCTGACCGCAGCATCTGCCCCACTTCCCGGTGCAGCAAAGACAAGTGCAAAGCTCCGACGTCGGCAGAGGCAGCGACTAAGTTAGGGGCATAAATACACCATTTTGTTCAATAAAACCGGACCAAGTGTCCGAAGTAATATATATTTTTTTAAATAAACTACCCGTGAGTTTATAACTGGCGCCCAACGTTTAAGGGTCCTGTCCGCGGAAATATCCTTGGTATCGAATCGAAGTAAAACTTATAAGTGAACCCCATAGGCTGCCCGGTTTCCACTGATCCGAAAAAATAAGTCTCGAATCTCCAAAAACCACCTGCAAGTGCACCACATAGGCTGCACTGGTAACACCGCGAGAGCGCTCCAAAGGAAAGAAAAACGCTGCTGGATAACCCGGCAAAGAAGAGAACTCACTTACATCAGCCTGAAGGCGATCGCCACAGACAACTGGACGGGAGTGTAAGGAGAAAAGTACCCCAGTAGCAGAAAGCAAAAAGAAAGACTACCAACTGACCGGTTCAGGATGTATTTTATTTTACTGTAAGCTAACTCCCAGAAACAAACACACACAAAAATTAATTATAACAAAAAATTAAAAATTTTACAAGAAAACAAAGCTAAAAAGCTCATTAAACAAACATTAAAAACAATATAACTTTAAGACTACGTATTTTACACAACAAATCTACACATCTCTACACATACAAAAAAAAATCCCAACAAAAACACACACAATGTCTAACCCAAATAGTTTAATCAGGCCCGCTTTGCTAAAAAATAACGGAGTAAAAGCTCCTGAAGTAAATCAAGTCCCAGCAAATATAGGCAATATGCAGGCCCAAATACAAAAAATAGTGGAGAGAATTTTAAATCAAAGATTAAACTCAGATACAGTGCCTCTACTTGATCAGACATATAATGCTAATCAAAATAATATTAGTGAATTTGACAGAGTCCCAGACATAGTGAAAAGCCTCAGGGAATTTTCTGGCCAAACAGGTGAATTTAGCTCATGGAGAAAAAGTGTAGAAAGAATAATAAAAATATATTCATTAACAGAAGGGTCCCCCAGATATTATGGAATTCTTAATGTCATTAGAAACAAAATAGTAGGTAATGCAGATTCTGTTTTAGAATCATACAACACCCCACTTAACTGGACAGCAATTTCCAAATGTCTTACAGCCCACTACGCGGATAAACGAGACGTTACAACTTTAGAATATCAGATGACTTCATTAGTACAGGGTAATCAAACCACTGCAGACTTCTACCAACAGGTCTATACACATTTGTCACTTATCCTGAATAAAATTTCATGCATGGAAATGGGAAGGGAATCAATTGATCTTTTCGCCAAATCTTACAGAGACAAGGCACTCGATACATTTATTAGAGGTCTTAACAGCGACCTACCCAGATTGCTAGGTACAAATAAGCCAGCAGATCTTCCATCTGCCCTCCAACTATG